AAGAAACTGTTGTGAAGGACTAGGGACTTTGTTGTGTTCGGAAACCGTAATTTTGGGCATTTCTTGTTTGTGGGTGAGCTGTTTCATGCTAGTTTGTAGAATGCCACCATTAATATCTGCATATATATAAGTTAAAAGTGAAGAGATAACTTTTTCCTGCCGTGTAAAACGGAGATGATGCTTCTAATTTGATCATTTGTTGTATATTACTGTGTAGTGTATTCGTGTAATAACGTGTATGTGTAGATTTAGGTGTCTGTTTGGTCATTTCTAGTTAGCCGTTGCCCATGTGTGCTAGCATATGATTAGCCATGCTTAGCTAATAATGTTGTATACGTTTCTAAGAGGCACTGTTACGTTCTGTTTTACTTATAGAAACCACAACTTCAATGTCACAACTTCAGTAACACAACTAAGCTCTCGATTGTGAAGTTTCAGTAAATCCTCTGGACCTGTACCCACAGATTTCTTACTGGGATCAACCAAAACAGCAACAGCAGAGCTAAAATCTGGGTTCAGACCAACTTTTATTGCCCTTTTTTCCCCCCGATGAGCTCCTCACCTCTTTCCCGGACAGGTAGTAGGCCGACAGCAGACCCCCGACGAAGCGGATGTTCACCTCGAACACGGAAACCTCGGCGTTCTGCGGCGGGGAGAGAAGAGGAACGGTCACATGACACATCAAAGCTGAGCGGTAGAGGCCTCAGAGGCCGGGAGATGCTGGGAAACGGCCCCTAACAGGGAGGCTTTCTCGGGTTTGGAGTTTAAAATATGCCTAAACACAGCGAGGAATAACAGAATCATGATTAATAAAGTTTAGTTTGAACAGATGATCGTGGATAAAGCAAAAAGAAAGCTGTTTGATCAGCTAAATATGATGCTTTTCCGCTTTAAACATTTCAAAAGATGCTGCTAAACAGCAATTTTTTAAAGTTTTTTCATATCTAATTGTTCCAGGAATCCAAACAAATCAATGTGTTGCGCAACATCTTTATCTCCTCATAAAATACTGAGAACTTTTGGCTTTTTGGAACATCTGAGACCTTCTCAGTCCTCCTGACCTGAAGCCAGGTGCTGTAGATCAGAAAATAATCCAAATAAACCACAAAAAAAAAGGTCATAAACAGGTTTAGATGGCTGCCATATTCTTAAACCAGGTAAAAAACGTAAAATAGAGGGAAAGAAAGCAATAATAATGTCAGGAACGGAGCCATACATAAGAGAAACAGTCCTTCATGCAGCACAAAAACTGGGAGATCGTGCTGTTAAAAGTGCCTCGGGTCCGTATGAAACAAAGCCCTTCAATCCCTTTTAAATGAAAACAAGAGTGTGTATGCAGATTAAGGCCGCCGACTCACTTTGCTCTGCCAGAGGCAACAATTTCCCCCTCGCAGCTCCAATAAGGGTCCGTTTATCCCCGAAATTGGACAAATATGAGGGAGGAAAGTTATAAAAAAAACTCTTTTCTGTCTTTTTCTTTCTCTGTTGCATTAGATCCACGTCTTTAAGTCAACACAAACACACACACACACCATTTGTTCCCACATTCCTGTCATCTGCATGAATTAGGACCTGGCCTGTTCCTGCCCAGAGGTAACTGGCCAATAGGACCTCCAGAGAGAGGTTTTTGTCTGTTAGAGCCCAGCTGATACACTTAACTGTGTCCAATAAATGTTATTTTTTATACTTTTGATCCACTCTGGTTTATTTATTTCAATAAATTGGTGTATTTCAATCGACCAGACGACTGTGGATCAGTAACTGGTGGTTAATGGCTTCTCGTTACTTTGTGTGTACGATCGGGATGTCCCGATCCAGCTTTTCTCACTTCCAATCCGATCCCGGCCTATCAGAGCATGTGTTAAAGTTTAAAGTTATTTATCTACTTACTTAGTTGTCAGACTCATGTTGAACAGGGATTTACTCTGATAACAACTTAATTCTTCTTCTTATAAAACCATCATATTCAACTCAAGTGTCATTATTTCTGATTTTCTAAAACGAAAAAACTTCCCTTGAAGTCTGGTTAGCAGATGCTAATGCTAATGCTCATGTGGGATCAGACTTTGAAGAAAAACTGAACCTGGAGTCTGGATCTGCACTTTTATCCACAATGTTTCAGCACTAAACTTCAAATATTTACACTTCCAAATAAAAAAAAGAGCTATGTATTTTTTTAAACAGGAAAATTTGTGCCCGATTTTCCACTTTTATCCACAATGTTTGATCACTAAACTTAAAATATTTGCTGCTTTTGGTCAGGGCGAACAACTTTCCAGAGCTGTTAGCCCTGCTGGCTAATACCAGATTCCCACGAATCTCAAACCCCGATTATATTTGCATTATAAACATATCAGAGCATGTGTTAAAGTTTAAAGTTATTTATCTACTTACGTAGTTGTCAGACTCATGTTGAACAGGGATTTACTCTGATAACAACTTAATGGTTAGGACACAGACCTGTGGGTTAGCAGATGCTAATGCTAATGCTAATGCTCGTGTGGGATCCGACTTTTAAAGAAAAACTGGATCTGGAGTCTGGATCTGCACTTTTATCCACAATGTTTCAGCACTAAACTTCAAATCTTTACATTTCCAAATGAAAAAAAGAGTTATGTTTTTGGCTGATGCCCGTTCTGCCTCTGGAGGCTTTTTCTGACCCTGTAACCACACAGAAAGTCCAATCCACAGCCACCACCTCCCTCCCTCTCTCTTAATGAGTAGCTCTTAATGGTAATGAGGGCAGACGAACATCAAAGGAAAACGGGCGGCCGCACAAAAACATCCTGTTGTGTAAAGATCCGAACAAACGGGCTTAAATCTGACATCAAAAATGGCTGCTCACAGTGAAAGTGTGTTTATGGAAATGTGAGAGCTTCCTGCATGTTGGCTTGTTGATTTCTGGTTTAAATAAAAGGTCAAAAAGAAGGTTTTCTATTAGGGCCCATCAAAGGAAAACAATCCAAATCTGCTTTATTGCTTCTATTGGAAATAGACATTAACTCATTGGCTGCCAAAGATGTCTATAGACGTCTTTTATGTTTTTCAACGAGAGTGTCTGGGGGACGATCTGCTAAAGCTTGTCCGTAAATATCAGGCTTCTAGACAGAGTATGTAGTAACAAATTGACCCTCTAGGGGGCAGTGCCACTTTTGATGGGAGATGAGCATAGACTGTAGGCAAATAAGAAAAAGGTAACGGTTCTATGAGAGAACATGTCGCCGGTGAGACGCAAGTCGAGGAAGAACGGAATAAGGTAGAAACACATTTTTTTTCCTGATGAAAGAAGAGAGTCTACACTTTCTTTTGGTGTGTTCGGTGTTTACATAGTCATAGCACAAACTATTCTGTGGCTCTTGAAAAATCAGTCAAAATGCTAAAAGAAACTGGCTGGCAGTCAATGAGTTAATGCTCTGAAAAAAAAACACAAAAAAAACTACGTTTTGATCCACATAAAGAGGCATAAAAGGCTTTTCTTACCACGCTGAAGTCCAGGTTCTTCTCCACCCACTTGGTGGCCGTGTCGAACTCCTCGAACATCTCCATGATGTAGAGCGTGTCCAGGGCGTCCACTATGGTCGC